AAGCCCCAGACAGTTTTGTAAATGCTCACCTCTGAAGGCCCTGGGAGTAGATATTTTAAGAGAAATGGTGTGGGTGTGTGAGGGTGCAAGTAGAGGGAACTGAGTGTGTGTGGGAGGTCATGTGTGTTGGGGGGAATGCACCTGAAACTGTGTCTGTCACCATGTTGGACCACCTCTGTATATTTGAGTATGTACATGAGACTTTGTGCACAAAACAACCGTTTTTTAATTCACCATTTCTAGGAATTCACATGTCTTAGCTCATTCTATCCTCACAGTAACTACCTGAGGTACATGCTGCATAATCCCCATTTTACAAGTGGGGAAACTGAGGCACAGGGTGATAAAGCAGTCTGTGTAAGGTCATGTAACATGCAGAGAACAAAGGCAGGGCTTGAAGCCCTGTCATCTGGATATAGTATGAGCTCTTCACCATAATGTGTGTGTGTGTGTGTGTGTGTGTGTGTGTGAGAGAGAGAGAGAGAGAGAGAGAGAGAGAGAATTCTCAGAACTAGCCCCCTCCTAAGACCCTGCTGGGGCAAGTGTATCCCAGAATCCTGCCCCACCCTCTAATACCCAGCCACAGGTCCCAATGCCTGGCCTCTCCCTTGCTGTGCAGCCCTAAGCAAACCGCTAGCCCTCTCTGAGCCCCATCGCAAGAAGACAAAGTGGGCACTGATGAGTTCAGCACCACGGACAGGTCCCGGTCCAGCCTCCCATCAGAGGCTTCTGGTAGCTGGGAAGGGCCTTCTGGAGGGGGCCAGCTCTCCCCCACAGCCCTCATCTGGACTCCACCCACTCTTCCCTTTCAGGGTTATTATTTTATTGGAGAGAGGTGCAAGGCTGGGTTTATAGGTGATGCTCTAACTCCCCATCTGCCCCCACCTCCTGAGCCCTGGCGAGTCTATCCAGAGGGGCGTCCTTCCCGGGGTTTCCAGTCTCTGGAAGAATGTGAGGTCAGGGAGGCCACTGCTGTGTCCCAGTGCTTGGAATTGGCCTTGCTTACAGTTCACATTCAGTAATTGTCCACTTTATGCCCACGGGCCACTACCCTGTAGAAAGATGGACCCATGCTGGAGTCTTTGTGGACCTAGGAGGCATCTTTGCCAGGCAGTGTGAAATGAGGGGGAGGGGAGGGGAGGGTGGGCAGGGCAAGGCCCATCCTCCAGCTGAGACTTGGCAGGACCTCAAAAATCCCAGAAACCAAGAATAGAATCTTGGCGACAATCAAATCCTGGAATTGAAGCTGAGAATCATGTCCTTCAGAAAACCCAGATTAAAGGCTGGCTTGGAGGCCAGCCTGTTGCCAGGACTGGGGACCCCAGGCAGACTGGGACTGGCTGCTGCCCTTTAGGAGCTCCCCTCCCCCCAAGTCTAAATGAGGAAGCCAACTTGAGAAATGGGATTTTGATCTTGCCTCTGTTAAGGTTAATGATAATAATAATAATAATAATAATAATAGCAGAAATTTACTCTTTCATGCCAGGCAGTTCTAAGCATTTTAAATGTATCGACTCATCTATTCCTTTCAAGTACCTGATGTTTTCCCCATCTGACGTACGAAGAAACTGAGACACAGAGAAGCTAAATTATTTGCTCAAGGTCACACAGCAAGGAACAGACACAGAGACAACTCCAGGTTCTGATTCACTCCAGCATCCATACTTCTGACCATGAGACATCACTGCTGGGATTCTGAAGTCAGCTGGTTCTGGGTTTGGATTCTGGCTCTGCCCTTGCTTGCTGCCTGTGCAACTTTGAATGACACACTGGCCTGTCTGAGTCCCAGTTTCCAGATCTGTAGAGGGGGGATGAGTTTTTCCATGCCAACTCTCTGGGGGGATTTGTTCACCCCTCCCTCCCTCTCTTTCTTGATCCAGGTCCAGGATGGGGGCCATGCCTATCTGGGCCTCGGGCCTCCTGGTGCTCCAGATACTGCTCTTGGTGGATGGGGAACAGGGTGAGTTGGCCTGTGTGGTGGGAGAGGTTGGGGTCTGGACAAGATGGGGCAGCGCTTTTTAACTCAAGAGTCTTTTCCTGCTGGTTCCCTGGCTTCGTGTGGAGAATAAAACGAGAATAGATGAAAAAGGTCTTTGAACAGTCAAAAGCCAACAAGACACCTGTGAGGTTATTTTTAGTCATTGCCAGCAAAAGCTGGAGGTTCCTGCCTCTCACCATTTTGCTATGATGAGTTAAAGAGAGAGAAAAAAAAGGAGGGGGAGGAAGGGAGGGAGAAAGAAAAAAAGAGTAGAGAAGGGAGAGGGAATGGGGGAAGGAGGAAAGAGGAAGGAATGAGAATAGTGTGTACATTGATTAGTGATGTCTGTCGTGGACAGGGCAATAGAAATAAAGGTCTGTGTTCATCTCGCTGGCATCTCCCCAGGGGTGGTCAAAAGCCCAGGCTTTAGAAATGCCTCCTGAATTGCTCTGTGGCCATAGGAAAGTACAATAATGTCTCTGAGCCTCAGTTTCCTCACCCCCCCCCAAAAAAAGAGGATGATGACATATGGCTACCTCTGCGGATAGTTATGAAAATCAGATGGGCTGCTTGCTATCTATAAAGTGCCTGTTCCATAGAAGGTTCTCTGCTACACCATGTCTCTCCCAGTAGCTACCTCTCCCTTAACTTCTGGGGAAACCGTGTCTCAGAGAAGCACAGTGACTTTCCCAAGGTCACACAGGGAGTCAGTGACACAGAGTCGCTGGCCTCAGGGACCTGGACTCTGAGTGGAGGCAGAATTACAAAGGGGTTTGACCCCGTTCCTCCTCTGCTGCTCACAGATCGGGGTGCAGATCTCTCTGGCCTGTGTCTCCCTACCAATAAAGCGAGGGAAACAGTCTCTGCTGCTCCTTGCCTCTGAGTTAGGCCTCTCTCCCCCTCCCCCACCCCAGGCACACAGGACACCACTGCTGTTGCCACGGCTGCTGCGGAGAAGGGGCTCCGCATGCAGAAGGTGGGGTCTGGCTCTGTGCGGGCTGCACTGGCGGAGCTGGTGGCCCTGCCCTGTTTCTTCACCCTGCGGCCACGGCCGAGTGCAGCTGGAGAAGCCCCTCGGATCAAGTGGACCAAGGTGCACACCGCATCAGGCCAATGGCAGGACTTGCCCATCCTGGTGGCCAAGAACAACGTGGTTAGAGTGGCCAAGGGTTGGCAGGGACGTGTGTCTCTGCCCGCCTACCCCCAGCACCGGGCCAACGGCACGCTGCTACTGGGGCCCCTGAGGGCCAGCGACTCCGGGCTGTACCGCTGCCAGGTGGTGAGAGGCATCGAGGATGAGCAGAACCTGGTATCCCTGGAGGTGACCGGTCAGTTGAGGGCAGGGGAAGGGTCAAGGCGGGAAGGGGAGGAGCTGAACCCAAAGGTCACCCAGTGAACATCACCTAAGAAATATTAATTGGGCACCTCCCACATGCCAGCCTGGTGCTAGGGACACTGTCATGACTGAGATGCAGCTGCCACCTTCTAGGGCAGTGATGGCGAACCTTTTGAGCTCGGCGTGTCAGCATTCTGAAAAACCCTAACTTAACTCTGGTGCCGTGTCACATATAGAAATTTTTTGATATTTGCAACCATAGTAAAACAAAGACTTATATTTTTGATATTTATTTTATATATTTAAATGCCATTTAACAAAGAAAAATCAACCAAAAAAATGAGTTCACGTGTCACCTCTGACACGCGTGTCATAGGTTCGCCATCACTGTTCTAGGAGCTCCCAGTTTAATAAGATGGAGCAAAATGTTTCATTCCTATATCTGGCTCAACCATTTCTTTCATCCCTAAATCAGAATTTGAGTCACAGAAAGTCCGTTCAATAATGGGCTTCCCGTCCTGACTTACATGTCACCTCCTCCAGGAAGCCCCCCAAGCCTTCATGTCTAGGCTGGGCAATAACCACATTAGATCTTCCATTGATGCCAGTGATTCCCCTATCAATGCATGTACTTAATTCCTAAATGGCAGGATCTCTCTTACTCTTCTTCATACCTCCTGTCACCTCCTGGGCCTAACCATGGGCATGAAGAATGCTATCGTTGGAGTCAGATCTTCCAGGATATGAATTCTGGCTCTGCCTCAAACTGGCTGTGTGACCATGGCCATGTCACTGAACCTCTCTGAGCCTTAATTTCAATGAGATAATGCTTATAAATGCTTTTTACATAGTAAATATTTGACAAATTCTAGTCCTTTCTGGCCATTGCTAACAGTTTCCTCATCTGTGAAATGGGGGCATATCAGTCTCATTCCCCACCACTGCCCCTAGTGTCACGTCTGGTGCTGAGTGAAGGGCAGTGTAGGGCAGCAGTTCTATTATTATCAGACTAACGGGGGGGGGGGGCATTCTGCAGAAGGAGGTGTGTTCTTAAAGATTTCAGAACAAATCGGCCCGCTATTCTGGATGTCCCTTCACAGGTGTTGTGTTCCACTACCGGGCAGCCCAGGATCGCTATGCACTGACCTTTGTCCAGGCCCAAGAGGCCTGTCGTCTCAGCTCAGCCACCATTGCAGCCCCACGGCACCTGCAGGCTGCCTTTGAGGATGGCTTTGACAACTGTGATGCGGGGTGGCTCTCTGACCGCACTGTTCGGTGAGGGGGTGCGCAGGGTGGGGAAATGGAGAGCTAGCCCCTGGGGAAAGATGGTTTTTGGGGGCCCCAGGAGCACACATCCTTGTCTTGTCAGGTATCCTATCACCCAGTCCCGTCCTGGTTGCTATGGTGACCGTAGCAGCCTTCCAGGGGTGAGGAGCTATGGGAGGCGCGACCCACAGGAACTCTATGATGTGTATTGCTTTGCCCGTGAGCTGGGGGGTAAGTCTGGGGCTGACAGGACCCTTCCCTTCCCTGAGCCCCTTACCTTCCCCAACCCCCATCCCTCCTAATCCTCATCCTTTAAACCTGCAGCCAAGACGTGGGCCCACCCCTGCCCTGAGCTTTCCTCCCCTCCCTGAGCCCCTCTCTTTCCCGGTGCCCCTTCCCTCGATCTGCGCCTCTTCCCTCTCTGAGGCCCCGAGCCTCTGCCCCTCTCCTCCTTCCTACCACCCCTGACCGAGCCCCTCCCTCTCTCTGAAGCCCGAAATGCCACATTTGTAAAAAGAAGTTAAAGCGGCCTCTTATTTGGAGCGAGCCCCCTTCCTGGGTGGGCTCCAGGTAGGGTCCCCTGGGCCCGCCTGACCTCTGCTCACTCCTTCCGGCGCTGCCTTCCCACAGGCGAGGTCTTCTACGTGGGCCCAGCCCGCCGGCTGACCCTGGCTGGCGCTCGTGCCCAGTGCCGCCGCCAGGGCGCAGCGCTGGCCTCCGTGGGCCAGCTGCACCTGGCCTGGCACGAGGGCCTGGACCAGTGCGACCCGGGCTGGCTGGCCGACGGCAGCGTGCGCTACCCGATCCAGACGCCGCGCCGGCGCTGCGGGGGCCCCTCCCCCGGCGTGCGCACCGTCTACCGCTTCGCCAACCGCACTGGCTTCCCGGCCCCTGGAGCGCGCTTCGACGCCTACTGCTTCCGAGGTGCGCGGGGGGCCACGCCCGGGGGAGTGTGTCCCTGGAGGTCCAGCCCCCGAGGGTGCGTCACTGATGGCCTTGCCCCAGGGCTCGCACCCCAGTCAAGGCCACGCCCCGGGAGCTGTGCTTGCTGGTGGAGGCGGAATCGGGGCAGGGAGGGACCCGGAGAAACTGCACCGCGGTCAGCCACACCCCGGGTGAAGGCCATGCCCCTGAGATAGGCTTTCCCCTGGCGCCCACGCTGGGCGTTAGAACGGGCCCCAGCTCTGGCTGGAAGCTCTAGGAGGTGGGCGATAGTCCTGAGGTCCCGGAAAGACGCGTCCTTGTAGGGAGCGTTTCTTACCTGGAACCACGCCCAGAAGCGCCCTTTGAGAAGAGATACCTCGGCTAGCCACGCCCCGTGGGCCAGGCCACATTCCCAGGGACCAGACCAGGGATGACCCTTGCACTTGGGGTGGAGCCACAGCCTCAAGCTGCAAACCTCAACTCAGAAGAGTTAAGTCTCAAAAAAAAAAAAAGAAGAAGAAGAAGAGTTAAGTCTTCCACATAAGGGAATGGCGTCCCTTTGTAAACAGGCCACGCCCATTAGGCGCTTTCTGCACCTGAGCTTCACCCATGAGCCAAGCTGTCTCTTGACCCTTTACTGGGACCAGTTGACTCTGACCTTGACAGTGGATGCAAGCCTGAACAGTGGGGATAACAACTTTGCACCACCTCTCTCCTCTGGGGTATTCCAGAAACCACCCAGAGAGACAGGGGGTCACAGAGAGACAGGTCTATGTGGCAGTGTGCTAGAATGTGGGTAGACTTCAAGTAGAACTTCCCAGCCCCTGAGCCTAATACCACCTCTTCTACTTTCTCCCACAGCTCATTACCCTACTCCACAACATGGAGACCCAGAGACCCCCTCATCTGGGGATGAGGGGGAGATTCTATCGGCAGAAGGGCCTCCAGCCAGAGAACTGGAGCCCAACTTGGGGGAAGGGGAAGTGGTCACCCCTGACTTCCAGGAGCCTCTGCTGTCGAGTGGGGAGGAAGAGCCTGTGATCTTGGCAGAGAAGCAGGAGTCTCAAGAGACCCCCAGCCCTGCCCCTGGGGTTCCCACACTAGCCTCAGGGCCTTCCCTGGAGGCTGAGGAGGTGTGGCTGAGCACCGCGGCCCCGTTCTCCAGCAGCCTGGAGGAAGGCACCTCGGCTGGCACGCACAGCAAGGCGACTCCAGCCAACCTCAAGCCCAAGAGGCGGATTCGCTTTAAAGGGTTGAACGGGCGCCACTTCCAACAACAGGAATCCCAGCAAGGGCTGGAGGGAAGGCTTGAGGTCAGTGCCCAGCCTCCCACCCCAGAGGCTGCTGGGAATCATGTGGAGCCTCCCCTGGCCACCGGAGCCACAGACTCCTTAGGGAGTGACAGGAGCCAAAGCCCCTGGGCGGTGCTGTCCAATGAAGTGGATGTGCCTGGAGCTGGTGAGTGGGGTCCCAGGAGGAGGTGGGACATGAGTGGGTGTCAGGGGTCGGGGAGGAGGCTCTGAACCCCTGCTGGGTCCCCGGGCCTTAGAAGCCCCCTCCTCCCGAGGCTAAACCAAGGAAACACTCAACAGAAGGAGCGCTGAGAGATAATTATTATTGTTGATATTGTTGCAGGTTCCCCTGGTGGCAGGAGCCCTCCAGAGCCCTGGCTGTGGCCCCCAACAGTGGTGCCACCCAGCATCCCAGGCCCCAGCAGGGCCTTTGGCCTGGAGTTGGAGGAAGCCAAGGGCCCCAGTGTGAGGCTTGATACCCTCAAACTTCCCTGGTCCCCTTCAGAGGCCACGGCTCTGTCTCCCAGCCCCTCAGAAGATCCCAGTAGTGTCCCCTGGGAGGCGTCCCCCATGGTCACTTCCCTAGACCTCCCTGTCATGGCCATGCTTCGTGCTCCCAAAGTGTGGCTCCTACCACATCCTACACCCCTCCCTACCCAGACCAATGAGGTTAAGGGTCATAGTGAGGCCATGCCCTCTGCCCTACCTTCCCTGGCCTCAGAGACCCAGGCTGGTCCCCAGAACCCCATCCATCCAGAGATGTATTCCTTGCCCCCCTCCTTGGGCCTGACAGGACAAGGTCGAGAGGCCGCGTTCCTGACATTTAGTGACCACAGCGCAGGAAGTCCCACAGCCCTCTCACAAGTAGCCACGGACACACAAACCAGAGCCAGTCCTAATGCCCCCAGGACAGACTTTGGAGAAATTGGGGGGACCAGCCCCACTGGACTCAATGAAGCTGAGCACCCCAGATCCAGCCCACAGGCTTCTGTGGATTGGAATGTGGCAGCAGATTTCACCCTCACAGAGATGGCAACTGAGCCCACAGGAGGGAGAGGAATCTCAGGGTCTGAGTATGGGGTCCTCTACACAGCAGAGAGTCCCACTTCCAGCTCACAGGCCCCTGTGCGAGAGGCACAGGGCACGAGCCCCTCACTGCACATCAAAGAGCTGGACCCCCACACCCCCTCTGCACCGTCGGGGGACCCCAGAGTTTCCCTGAGTTTGGAGCCTTGGGCTGCTACAGATGAAGGAGGTACAGAGGGTCCCACAGATACAGCCACAGTGGACCCCAGTGATGCTGGTAGGATTTGGGAATCTGGATCCCTCATGGTTGAAGGAGCTGAACGCCCCACCATGAGCCCTCAAGTGGCTGTGGATACGAAGGTGGTGACGTCCCTCGTGTCCCTGGACCAGGGGGACAAGGGTGGGGTCCTGGCCACGTCCACCATGGACTCCTCCAGCTCCCAGCCCCACCCAGAGCCAGAGGGCCAGGTGGTGACCCAGGGAACACTGGAAGCCTCGGTCCCTCCGCGTGAGGGCATCCCCCTGGGGGATCCCACTCTTCCTCCTTGGACACCTACAGTGGCCAGCATGGACGAGCCTGTGCCAGTGTCCGCAGGGGAGCCAACAGTGCTATGGGACTCCCCCAGCACTCTGCTGCCTGCCCCTCGGGTCCTGGACAAGTTTGCGCTGGAGGTCCTTGCAGGAAGTGCCAATGTGGAGGAGGCATCGAGTGGAGAGGAGCCGGCCCTGCCAGGGACCCCTGCAGATGGGAGCGCAGAGCAGAGTGAGTTCAAATTTTGTGGCCTCATTCAGCCCGCTGTGGTCAGGGCTGGGGGACCAGGGGCCAGGGGAGCTCAGGGTAGGGAAAAGGGGTTGTTCCCGGGGGCCTGGGAAGGTTTCTAGCAGGAATAACATTGTAGGTGGGAATTTATCAGGTGAGTTGAATTACAGAAAGGATGTTTCTGGCAGAGGCACCAGCCTGGGCAAAGGTTGAACAAGTTGATGTGTTTTAAGGCACAGTGAGTGATGGGGGAATGATGAGGTGTTGAGTGGAGTTGGATTTTGGTTCAATTAACAACTCCTGTTCATGGCCACACAGAGCTAGACAGTGCTATACAATGCTGGGGGCCGGCCTTCAGTGATGCCCCAGTCTGGGAAAGACAGAGCTAGACACAGACACCTGCCGCCCCTCCCCCCCGTGGGGCCAGATGGAGGAGGCATAGTGGGATTCAGTGGTGCATTTGCTGGGGGACCTTGAGCCACAGGAAAAGTGGGCACTGGGACGGGGTTGGAGTATTGTACAGCCTAGTGGTGCAGACAGCAAACTGACACTCAGGGAGGAATGTCACTACCAGCTCGTCAGTGGCCAGACTTCAGAGGGAGCCCAAGTCTGCAGACGCCTCACCTGCTCTTTGCTCAGCAGAATCCAGAAAAAGCTACCACCCTGTTCTCCTGGAGCCAGGTCTGCCCGAAGCTCTCCTGCAAATTCTGGCCCTTTTTTTAAAAGAAATATATATATATATTTTTTTTAATTGAGGAAGGGAGAGGGAGAGAGAGATAGAAACATCAATGGTGAGAGAGAATTATTGATCAGCTGCCTCCTGCATGCTCCCCACTTGGGATAGGGCTCACAACTTGGGCATATGACCTGACCGGGAATTGAACCGTGGCCTCCTGGTTTAGGTCCACACTCAACCATTGAGTCACGCTGGCCGGGCCAGGCCTTTTTGTAGGTCCTGCATATTGAGCGTTTTTGTTGTTTTGTTTTGTTTTTTGTCAAATGAGCTTTTAAAAACACCAGCATCTAATGAAAAGGCACTTTTTTTTTTGAGTTGCAAAAACACTTATTAACACAATTGGTTTTACACTTGCTTTCTTTTTTGAAGGCAAAGTGTGCATGATGGGAATAGCAGGTACAGGGTTTTGTCACCAACCCTGTCACCTCTGGGCTAGATTTTTTTTTCTTAGATGCTCAGGAGGCAGGCAGACACCGATACATGAATTGATAAAGGCTGATGCTTATTGGTGACTGCCCATGTACTTGGCTTGTTCGAGCACTTTACTGGAATCATCTTGATTGATCCTTTTAATGTCCTTGTGGAACAAGTTCTAGTATGACCTTCACTTTAGCATGGGGAGACTGAGGCACAGGGAGGTCTAGTGACTTGTGCAGAATCATGCAGCTGGGACTGTTAAGGATAAGGTTTGAATCAGGCCAACTAACAACATGGTCTCTCTCAACCACTAGGCTGTACAACATGTACTTCATTGGCGTAACACACACACACACACACACACCCTGAGGCTTTGGGAGGGGTGAACTCTGCTCTGGAGGGAGCTGGGAAGAGACTAGCTGTAGGGGATGGGTAGCAGGAAGGAGGTTCAATGTCAAGGGAGCTAGAAAAGGGGAGTCCGAGAGGTGGGAGGTAGACCATGCCGAGTGGTGCAAAGGGAAGCCTGTTTGGGTCTGCCTTGCAGCCAGTGGCAGTAGGGTGAGAGAGAGGCAGGCAGAGCTGGGGTGGGGGGGAGGGGATCTGGGTGCCTAGCCACCTTATGCTTGCTGCAGAAATGCTAATGTAGCCAAAAATAAATCCAGCACCAGTGAGCGACTGAGTCACCGCCAGTCTGTGGGCAGCTGTCGGCAGCTTGGGTCACCTGGCAGGGCTCACATATTCCCATGCCTAGCAGTCTTGCGCATGTGCACACACAGGACAGACACAACCACTGGCCTCTCTGGCAATCCCTGGGGGCACATGCCACCACCCCAGGGATCGGCCTCTGTCCCTACAGGAAGGCCAGAAGCTACCTTCATTCAGTTAGCAAGCAATTATTTAGTGCCGGCTATGTGCCAGGCCCCAGGCTGAGACCAAGTCACTTGTCCTCTGGAAGCTGGCCTTCTAGAGCAGCACTCTAGAACTTGCCCAATGATGGGAATGTTCTGGAGCTATGCTGTCTAATACACTAGCAAACAGCCCCACGTGGCTACTAAGCCCTTGAAAGCGGCTAGTGAGACTGAGGAACTACATTTGTACTTTCATTTGCTTTTAATTAATTTAGACTTAAAAAGCTATATTTGGCTGCTATGTGGAACATCATTGCTCTGGGGGAGGCACAAACACATAACAGTGATCCTAATAACTAAATGATATTGGAGGTTAGAAAGTGATTGGGCAGCCCGCTGGTTTGGCTCAGTGGATAGAGTGTCAGCCTGTGGACTGAAGGGTTCCGGGTTCAATTCTGGTCAGGGGCACATGCCCGGGTTGTGGGCTCGATCCCCAGTGGGGGGCGTGCAGGAGGCAGCCGATTAATGATTCTCTCTCATCATTGATCTTTCTATCTCTCTCTCCCTCTCTGAAATATATATATATATAGTGATTGGGCAAAGAGACAAGTGAAACAAGGATGGGAGATGCCAGTGAGCGGTTTCTGGTTCTGGAAGGGGAATCAGAAAGGCCTCTCCTAGCAGATGACATTCGAGCAAGCCTGAAGGAGGTGAGGGAGGAGCCATGCAGAAATCTGGGGAAAGAGTGTTCCAGGCAAAGGGAACAGTCTATGTAAAGGCCCTGAGACAGAACTGTGCCTGGCATGTAAGAACAGCAAGGTCAGTGTGGCTGGAGCAGAGTGAGCAAGGGAGCGAGCAAGAGGTAGGGCAGGGGGATGTTAGGCAGATCTCCCAGGGCCCTGTGGGTAGCAGTGAGGGCTTCGCCTGTCTCCTGAGGGCAATGGGGAGCCATGGAAGGATCTAGGCAGAGGAGGGACATGACTTGACTCAGGTTTACATAGGCTCCCTTGGCAGCTATGGGGAGAATAGCCTGTTGAGGGTGAGAGTGGAGGCCAGGAGACCTAGGAATTGGTGACAGCTTATTGCCACCTCAGTTTCTTGTGAGGCTCTAGACAAGCCCAAAATAGAAACAAATTCTAGGTTATAGGGGCTGGAAAGAGGGCCTTAAACTGGGCTACCGGAGCCCAGGAAGTCAGATTTGGCTCTTGTATTGTCTCACTATGTAGCACTGAACCAAGCCCTTCCCTTCTCTGGACCTCAGTTCTAGTGTCTGTGCGGTGGAAGTGGTGGGTGCCCTGACAAGGGAAGGGGGTTGGTTGGGGGTTCCAGTCGTTAGAGTGGAGAACACCCACCAAGGCATCTGGGCCCCTAAGATGGGGAGGGGAGATCCCCCTTCCTCCAGGGAAACCCAGCTGATGGGGGAAATGGGAGAGGGGGACAGGGACCCACATTCCTAAACGCACCCTGGGTGCCTGGTGAATGCTGAGACCCCTCAAGAGCCAGATATGGCTTCATGGTGAAGACTGAGAGAGATGAACTATTTTTATTTCCATTTTGTAGATGAGGCAACTGAAATTCAGAGAAGCAATTTGCCTAGGGTCCCTGAATGAGGGGCAGAGCCAGGGATTGAACTAAACTCTCCGACTCCAAAGTCCATGGTTATGACCATGATAATCCATAAACTCTCCACAGTGTCACTACTGGAACCACATCAAAAGAGGTTGAGCCCAAATGAAGGAGATGTTGGTTCCCTAGTGCTGTTCATACCCCACCATCTAGGGCAGTGATGGCAAACCTATGACATGCGTGTCAGAGGTGACACGCGAACTCATTTTTTTTGGTTGATTTTTCTTTGTTAAATGGCATTTAAATATATAAAATAAATATCAGAAATATAAGTCTTTGTTTTACTATGGTTGCAAATATCAAAAAATTTCTATATGTGACACGGCACCAGAGTTAAGTTAGGGTTTTTCAAAATGCTGACGCGCCGAGCTCAAAAGGTTCGCCATCACTGATCTAGAACCTTATGTCCACTTCTGTGCAACAAATTGTGAGAAATACAATGGCCAGCAGGGTATGTCCAGAAGAAAGGACAAGTCAGGGAGGGCACTTAAATCCATGTTCTAGAAGATGACTTAAATATGTGTGTGTGTGTGTGTGTGTGTGTGTGTGTGTGCATACACATTGATTTCAGAGAGGAAGGGAGAGGGAGAGAGAGATAGAAGCATCAATGATGAGAGGGAGTCATTGATTGGCTGCCACCTGCAGGGCCTCTACTGGGGATTGAGGCCACAACCTGGGCATGTGCCCTTGACCAGAATCGAACCTGGGACACTTCAGCCTGCAGGCCAACACTCTATCCACTGAGCCTAACTGGCTAGGGCTAGAACATGACTTTTTAAGAGAAGCTTTGGGAAGCCCATTCCAGTTCAGTCAGAGAAAGAACTTTTCACCGGCAGGGCAGCCCACAGATGCTTTGGGAGCAATTTCTGGAAGGAGTAAACTTGTCACAGGGGCACGTGAGCGGAAGGTGGTGATGACCTACCGGGAAGGCATAGAGGGGACTCCACAGAGAGGAACCGAGCCAGAGGCCCTCGGTGCCTGAGGTCAGGATTCTAGGAGGGCAGATCTGCTGTTCTGACTGTCTGTCTGTCCTGCAGCCCCCTCGGATCCCTGCGAGAACAACCCTTGCCTGCACGGGGGCACCTGTAGAGCCAATGGCACCATCTACGGCTGCAGCTGTGCCCAGGGCTTTGCTGGGGAGAACTGTGAGATCGGTGAGTCCCCCGACTCGGGATCAGAACCTGGACTTGTCTGACCCCAGAGCCCTGGGTTTGTTTGTTACCACTGCAGTCAACCCCATGAGAACGCAGGGCTCACAAATGCTGGCTTCAGACGCTTCCTTTCCTCCTCACTCCTTGGATCCAGTAAATCCGCCCCAGCACCAGCCAACTGAGCTCTCATCCTGGGGGCTGAGGCTCTGGCGTGCTGCCTCCCATTACTACCAAGCAGGGGTAAAGGAGGGCAAAGGGATGGTAAGGTTCAGGCTCCTTCCTTCCAAGGCCTCCAGGAATCCTACCCTTTCCTGGTGGGCAGGGGTGTAGGTACCACCAGCAGAACAGTTGGATACTAGCCTCAAACCCCAACATAAGAAATATGACAAGTTATGAAATTAGAACAATAAATATAAATAATACAATTTCTTGAGCTCTGTTCATCATCTCATCAATTTCACAACCTTCACAACTATATCAATAATAGAAATATAACAATAAATATAAATGATATTAAATTTTTATTTTAAATATGTTTTTATTGATTTCAGAGAGGAAGGGAGAGGGAATAAGAGATAGAAACATCGCCGGAACTGGCTTGGCTCAGTGGATAGAGCGTCGGCCTGCGGACTTAGGGGTCCCGGGTTTGATTCCAGTCAGGGGCATGTACCTTGGTTGCGGGCACGTCCCCAGTGGGGGGTGTGCAGGAGGCGGCTGATCGATGTTTCTAACTCTCTATCTCTCTCCCTTCTTCTCTGTGAAAAATCAATAAAATATATTTAAAAAAAAAAAAAGAGATAGAAACATCAATGATGAGAGAGTCATTGATCTGCTGCCTCCTGCACGCACCCCCACTAGGGGATCGGGCCCGAAACCCGGGCATGTACCCTGACCGGGAATAGAACCGTGACCTCCTGGTTCATAGATCTGCATTCAACCACTGAGCCACGCTGGCTGGGCAATGATATAAACTCTTGAGCTCTTCCATTGACTCTCCACTCATAACCACCTTTGAGGAGGTGCCATTATTATTAACACTGCAAAAACAACAACTGGGTCTCAGAGAGTGGAAGTGGTATCGTACATGCCTCAAGCACTGTCTACACAGGGGTGGTAGAAGAGGGAGTTCAACTGGATAGCTGTCTCTACAGTTTTCTGACTCCCTGTTCCTTGCAAATGCTCTGGAACCCAGTTTCCCGAGGTTCCACATTCCAAAAAGACCCTGAAGCTTCGACATCTCTGGGTCTGTTGGCGAGAGTATAACCTTCACTGTTCTGGAGTCAGGTGGGATGCTCTGCACACCCTGGCCCCAGCCAACGCAGTGACATCTGCTCTCATTAATGCTAAGTTATGCCAGGCTCCACCCTCCTGACCTCCAGAGGCGAGGAGCCATTGTGCAGACCAGGATGGATGCACTTAGGTCCAGGATGGATGGCAGGATCATGACCCCATCTTCTGCCTGGTTTCCTGTGGGGCCTGGGAGCCAAGGGTTGCCTGTGGGGAGGCTGACCTCTGACTCAGCCCCTCCTTCTCCCCTCCAGACATCGACGACTGTGTGTCCAGTCCCTGTGAGAATGGAGGTACCTGCATCGATGAGGTCAACACCTTCATCTGCCTTTGCCTCCCAAGCTATGGGGGCAGCCTCTGTGAGAAAGGTGAGTCTCTGCTGAGACCCCAGAAACAGGAGGGGAGGGGGTGCCGGGCCGCAGGCCTCCAGCTCTGGGTCCATGACTGTGAGTCCAATAGGCAAACTGTTGGAGGCAAACTGTTTTGTTTTGTTTTTAGATAACATTCACGTAACATAGAATTAACCTTTTAGAGTGAACACTTCAAAAGGAATTCAGTACATTTGCAATGTTTTATAGCCACCACCTCTAGCAAGTTCCAAGATATTTCCCTCAGTTTAAAAGGAGACCCTGCCCCATTACTAGTCACTCTTCACTCCCCATCTACCCAACCCTGGCAACCACTAATCTGTTTCTGTCTTTGTGGATTTGCCTGTTCTGGACATTTCATATAAATGGAATCACACATTATGTGTCTGGCTTCTTCTCCTCAGTATCATGTTTTTGAGGTTAACCCACATGTAGCATATTTCAGTGCTAAATTCTTTTTTTGTGGATGAATAATATTCATGGTATGGATAGACCGTTTTGCTTATCAATTCATCAATTGGTGGTAATTTGGGTTGCTTTCCCCTTGAGGCTAATATAAATAGTACTGCTATGAACATTCATGTACAGGTTTTTGTTTGAATACGTTTTCTTTTTAAAAATATTTTTATTGATTTGAGAGAGAGGGGGATAGGGGAGAGAGAGAGAGAAACATCAATTGGCTGCCTCCTGCACGCCCCCTACTAAAGATCAAGTCTGCAACCCACAACCTGGGCATGTGCCCTGACCAGAATCGAACCGGCAACCTTTTGGTGCATGGGGCAACGCCCAGCCAACTGAGCCACCCAGCCAGGGCAGAACACCTGTTTTCTATTCTTCCACCCCCACCCCCCATTCTTTTTGGTTTATACCTAGAAGTGGAATGACTGGGTCACATGGTAATTCTATGTTTAACTGTTTGAGGAACCATGAGACTGTTTTCAACAGTGGCTGCCCACTTGACATTCCCACCAGCAGTGTACAGGGTTCCAACGTCTCCACATCCTCACCAGCTCTTGTTATTTTCCTACTTGAAAATCATACTAGTAGCCATCCTAGTGGGCGTGAAGTGGTATCTCATTGTGGTTTTGATTTGCGTTTCCTAATGACTAATGATCTTTCCATGTGCTTCTTGGTGATTTGTCTATCTTTTTGGGAGAAATGTCTATGTGAGCCCTTTGCCAGGAGGGAAATTTTAGGCCTTTCTGAGATCATTTCCCGAGTTCCCAGGTCCACCCTGAGGGTGTGGTCCTGCCGATCAGAGGAGACATCAGAGCTGGGAGGAGAGGGGATGAGTGTAAAGATCTTCCAGTTGAATCGCTTCCAGAAACAAAGAAAAGAAGTGAATATGGGAGGGGGAGCTGAAAGGGGGAGAGAGAGCCTCAGGGGGTGGGGATTGGCCCTGGGAAAGGGGTGACCTAGCCCCACAATGACCTTGGATAGGCCCTCTCTCTGGTAGACTGGCTGTGTTCATGCCAGCAGGGCAGACTTCTCAGGCCAAGGACAGCGCCCCTCACACTCCCTTCCTACTTCCCAGACACGGAGGGCTGTGACCGCGGCTGGCACAAGTTCCAGGGCCACTGCTACCGGTACTTTGCCCATCGGCGGGCGTGGGAGGATGCCGAGAGGGACTGTCGCCGCCGAGCTGGCCACCTGACCAGCATCCACTCACCTGAGGAACACAACTTCATTAACAGTAGGGACTCTGGGGTGGTCAGGGTGGCCCTGCGGTCCTTTTTGCCAGGGAAGTTCCCAGGATCCTGAGGACACCACCTTTCTGAAACTGTGTTCATTAGTGCAAGCCATGGCCACTTAATAATTCCCATGTCTGTTTGTTCATTTGTTAATTCATGCATTCACTGTATTCACTCGTTCATTCATCACGTATTTACCAAGCACTTGCTCTGGGACACAGCAGCGAGCAAGATGCACATTGTCCCCTCCTCGGGGAATAACATTCTTGTGGGGGAGTAAATATCTAATTAACGACGTCTATACTATAATTTAGCTGGTCCTAAGTATGCTGATGACAAATTAAATGGCCAGGGGGTAGAGGGCGACGGGGAAGCATCTGTGATGTGTGGGATAAAATGAGCAAGGAGCTGTGCAGAGACCTAGGAAGAGTGTCACATTAATTAAACCGGCATTTATTGATTCATTCATTATCCTTTCTACCGTCTGTGCATCCATCCATGTATTCACATTTCCCCTATCCCATCCCCTAATTCTTTTTTCTTTTTTTTTTGCTTTTAAAAGACTTCATTGGGGAAACATACATGGGTGGGAACTGTCCTCAGAAATATCTCAGGACACTGTCCTCCATCTCGTTGGGCAGTTGCAGTTTCCAGAGGCCCCTGCTCACCAGCATCTGACCAGTCACAGCATCTGTGACTCCTGGAGGGGCCCAGCCCTGGGGGTGGCCACTACTCCCCACCCCCATCTCCTAATTCTTCCATTTGTTCATTCCCCGGGTCACGCGTTTCTTCTTCCTCACATCAATCAAATATCCTCCTCTCCTTCCTCTGTCCTCAGTGACTACCTGGTTCACTGGGTCTCACCGCTGCCCTGTCTAGAGCCACCGTGGGCTTTCCTGTCCCTACTGTCATTTCTGCAAAGATACAACGGTCTTTGTTAATGCCTTACTCTGGCCATTTGTTTAAGCCACATATTTGTGGCAAAGCGAGTGCCAAATAAGCCTTTTCTGTGCCCCACCCCCACCCCCAGGCTAGAGAGCAGCCAGAGCCCCAGGCTACTGGGAAATGGGGGGACCTGGCCTCCAGCCTGTGCCCAGGCTGAGGGAGAGTCTGGGTCCTCCCCTACCCCTCTGGCCTTTGGCTCCTGCCCCACCTCCATCCTTCCACCTCCATTCCCTTTCCCCTCCAGGCCACCTCCAGGCAAAGGAAGGGCTGGGTCCTCCCCTCCACCCCCCACCCCACCCCCAGCTAGGCATTGGGGAGAGGCAGGCACCCAGTCCTGAAAACCCCCCAACCCGCAGGCTTTGGGCGTGAAAACACGTGGATTGGCCTGAATGACAGGATCGTGGAGAGGGATTTCCAGTGGACGGACAACACAGGGCTGGTGAGTGGCGGGAGCCTGGGTCTCTGCTACCAGGCTGCTGACTGGGGGCCCATCTACAACAGCGGGATAGGGGTGAGCCCCATGCCCTTTGCTCTGGCTTCACTTCACCCTCTTACGCAAATGAGCCGTCAGAGGTCTGGAGTGGCGAGTGAGCTTTAGTGAAGCCCCAAAGCACCCACTTCCCAGCCAGGTAGAGGGCCCATCTACCTGGTGACTGAAGCGGGGAACCCAGGACTGGGGACAACTCCTGTGCTCACATCGCCTGGTCCTCCTCCAGCCATAGGCTCTGAGATGCTCCCATTTCCCTACATGCCCCTGCCTGCTCGGTCTCCACTGGGACCCCTGCAGCAGCCCCCCCCCACACACACACTTGCTACCTACACCCCTGCCCCTCTACCTGGTGACCAGGGGGACTTTTAAATAATTGAGGTAAAATTCACATAATAAAATTAATCATTTTCAAGTGTATAATTCAGTGGCATTTAGTATATTCACAACATTGTGCAACCACCATCTCTATCTGGTTCCAGAATATTTTCAATACCCTGAGGGAAACCTTGACCATGGGACCTTTTAAACACTATACATCAGCCCTGGCTGGTTTGGCTCAGTGGATAGAGTGTTGGCCTGCGGACTGAAGGGTCCCAGGTTCGATTCCAGTCGAGGGCACATGCCCGGGTTATGGGCTCGATCCCCAGTGGGGACCATGCAGAAGGCAGCAGATCAATGATTCTCGCATCATTGATGTTTCTATCTCTCTCTCCCTCTCCCTTCCTCTCTGAAATCAATAAAAATATATTTAAAAAATAAAATAAAAACCATACATCAGATCAAGATTCTCCCTGCTTCAAGCCCTGTCAGACTCCTCCATGGTTCTCAAGATAAAGACCCACCTCCTCATGCGAAACAGTCTGGCAGTTCCTCAAAAAGTTAAACATAGAATTCGCACACGACCCAGCAATTCCACTCCTAGGTATGTGCCCAAAAGAAGTGAAAGCAGGGACTCAGATACTGGTACACACATGTTCACAGCGGCACTAGTCGTAATTGCCAAAAGGAGCAACCCAGATGTCCATCATCAGATGAATACACACACAAAATGTGGTCCAAGCAAACACATACCATGAAAAAAGGCGGGACGCACTGACACACACGATAATGTGGGTAAAATTTGAAAACATGATGCTCAGTGAACGAAGCCAGACGTGGCCAGGTAGCTCAGTTGATTAGAGTGTCGTTCCAATACACCAAGATTTCAGGCTCAATCCCCAGTCAGGGCACATACAAGAATCAACCAATGAATGCACAGATAAGTGGAACAACAAATCAATGTTTTTTTTTCTCTCTCTCTCTATTTCTCTTTCTCTCTCAAAATGAATGAGAGAAAAAAAAGGGTGATCTAAGAAAGAAGCCAGACCTAAAAGGACACATATTGTATGATTCCATTTATATGAAATATCCAGAACAGGCAAATACATATAGACGGGAAGTGGATTTTTGGATGCCAGGGGCTGGGGAGGGGAGATGGGGAGTTACTGCTAATGGGGACGAGTTTCTGTTTGGTGTGATAGAAAAGTTCTGGCAACAGACAACGGTGATGGTTGTACAACTTTGTGGATCCTAATTAATGGCAATGAACTGAACACTTAAAAATTATTAAAATGAGTCCTGGCTGGTGTGTTCAGTGGTTAGAGCGTCCGTCTGCACACCTAAGGGTCAAGGGCACGTACCTGGGTTACATGTTCAATTCCTGGCAACCAATTGATGTGTCTCTCTCACATCCAAGTTTCTTTCTTTCTCTCTCTTCCCCTCGCTGCTCCCTTCCATTCTGTCTAAAAATCAATGGAAAAATATCCTTGAGCCTGGCCATTGTTGCTCAGTGGTTGAGCATTGGCCCATGAACCAGGAGGTCACAGTTCGATTCCCGGTCAGGGCACATGCCCGGGTTGCCGGCTCAATCCCCAGTAGGGGGCGTGCAGGAGATAGCCGATCAATGATTCTCTCTCATCATTGATATTCTTTTTCTCTCTCTCTCTCCCTTCCTCGCTCTGAAATCAATAAAAACATACAAAAAAAAATCCTCAAGTGAGGATTAACCAAAAAAAAGTATTAAAATGGTAAATTTTGTTATGTGTATTTTACCATAATTGAAAAAGAATCCACCTCTTCTCCTCTACCCCAAGAACTGGCCCTGCCCACCCTCTGACCACACCCAAACTCCATCAAGTACCTTCAGCCCCACTGGCCTCTAGTCCATTCCTCAAACAGGACAAGCTTAGTCCTGCCTCTGGGCCTTGGCACTAGCCGTTTCCTCTGCTTGTTCTCTGCCTGCATCATTCTTTTCCCTGAGTCTTCAGCTCTCCTGTTGCCTCCTCAGGGAAGCCATCATGGACTTCCAGGCTGAGGTCACCTTTTGTTCAACCGTTTATCTAACAGTGAGTGGCCCATATTGGAACAGACTATCAGGGAGCAAGACAGGAGGCAGGGGCATGAGGGAAGACGGCACAGCAGCCTCCCAGCCAGAGGAGGGGTGATCAGGTCGCACTGGTGTCACCCGCAGGGCAGGCAGAACAGTGCCCATTCTAGAGATGGAAAGACGGAGTCCCTAAGGGTTTGAGTGGTCTGCCCAGGGGAGCCCCACAGTGGACAGTGCCAGAGTCTGAGGCAAGATGCTGGTTCCCTGAGCACCCCTTCCTGCCCCACGTTTCTGCAGCAATATGAGAACTGGAGAGAGAACCAGCCAGACAATTTCTTCGCGGGCGGGGAGGATTGTGTGGTGATGGTGGCACATGAAAGTGGGCGCTGGAACGACGTCCCCTGCAACTACAACCTCCCCTATGTCTGTAAGAAGGGCACAGGTACGCTGCCCCCCTGCCCCCTTGCCCTCCTGTGGCTCACATTCACGCGTTCATGAGTTTTTCAAGTGTGTCAATGTAAGAGTCAGCCCCACCCACTTTTCACTCTCAGGCACCGTGTGAGAGGGCCCATTTTTCCCATCCTTGACAACTTGATGCATTCTCAAACTTTCTATTTTTTGTTCATCTAAGTCAGTGGTTCTCAACCTTCCTAATGTCACGACCCTTTAATACAGTTCCTCATGTTGTGGTGACCCCCAATTTCATTGTTACAAATTGAACATAATTAAAGCATAGTGATTAATCACAAAAACACTATGTAATTATATGTTTTCCGATGGTCTTAGGCGACCCCTGTGAAAGGGTCGTTCGACCCCCAAAGGGGTCGCGATCCACAGGTTGAGAACCGCTGATAAGCGATGAAAAAAATAGTATCTCAATGTTATTGTAGTTCGCACATCTTCAAGGTTGAGAATGACTAGCTGTTCATATGTTGATAGGCTATTTATCTGTATTTATTTGCCTGTGACCTGCCAGGTCATCTCCTTTGCCTAATGTTCTATTAGCCTGTTGGTCTTAGTGATTTGCAAGCGTTCTTTACATATTAAGGGAACATTTACATGCATTCTTGTGACCACCTTTCTCTTACACTTTTGTTCATTCTTGCTTCCATTTCTTTGCCAATTATCATATCCTTACTTCCTTGCATTTGCTCAAATTATTCTTACCTCCCATCTCCTTCGTCCCTGTCATGCATAAGAATTAGGGGGTGGGATGTGTCCAGGAGGTTCCTGCCTGGAAGGGGCTCCAGGTCTGGGTGGAAGAGACAGACACAATCACTTCTCGCCCTGGGAGGTCACAGCTGGGCAAAGGGCAGGACCTGCATAGGTGTGTCATTTCTAACAAGAGAGGAAACCATTCATCCCGTTATGGCCACTCTCCTAACGGGAGGTTCCTGCGTCCCCAGTGCTGTGTGGTCCCCCTCCGGCAGTGGAGAACGCTTCGCCCATCGGGGCCCGCAAGGCCAAGTATAACGTCCATGCCACTGTGCGCTACCGGTGCGACGAAGGATTTACCCAGCACCACGTGTCCACAATCCGGTGCCAGAGTAATGGCAAGTGGGACTGGCCCCAAATCGTCTGCACCAAACGTAGGTGGCTGTCCCCTATCCCCACCCCCACCCAACACATTTCCAGGTGTCTGTAGTCTCCAATGGAAACATCTGATGACTATATGCATTGATTTGAGTAAATATCTGCCTGATAACACAGCCTTGCAGATAAAGATCAGCTTGCCTGGTGTCTCCTCCATCCACCCCCCCCCGCCCACCCCACCCCCAGAAGGCCCGCTGCATCAGGCCACTGCTTCTCACCACCTTTTGCTACTTCCCTGTCTTCCTTCATTTCCCTGCAGCCAGAAGGTCCCATCGGATGCGGCGACACCATCACCACCACCAACATCACCACCAACGCCACCACCACAAATCACACAAGGAACGCAGAAAACACAAGAAGCACCCGGCAGAGGACTGGGAGAAGGAGGAAGGGAATTTCTGCTGAAGAACCAGGCAAACGAAAGCACAACCCCCTTCTCACGCCTCCTCTGGGGCCTTCGCCTGGGAAGATAGAGCCTAGAGAGAAACGAGAGGGCCCCGAAGCCCCTGAGACCCAAGCCCCCTCCCCAACCTTTTGTAAAAAGCTCCTCCCTCCTCTTTCTTACACATACAGGTCCTCTTGGCAGACGTAGCCATGCGTCTGAAAATCCAGTTCTAGTCAGGCTGGACTCTGGGAGAATCTCAGTGGAAGGAAGCACAATTGGCAAAGATCACTCTTTGCTGCACTGGTTGAGTCTTTTGTTGGCAAGACTAATTGGCAGTTGTTGAGATAAGGCTTTGATGAGGGTGCAAGGGTGTATGTTTGGATTTGCACTAAGGAATTGCTTTTCACGCCAGAGCCAGGCTTTGTAAATTATCGGATGTCCTAAATGCAGCCTGAAGCCTTTAGTGACTGCTTTGGGAGTCGAAAACTACATGGAAGCACACTGCTTGAACTTGACAACTGCTCTCCCATTACCTTGGACTTGAACCCAAGTTCAGTCTTTGGTCTTGGTGGGTAAACAGTCTTGAACTCCTATGTACTGAATGTTGGGAATGATTTTAGAACAGCTTCCTTCCATACCCTCAGAGTTAGGGGTCAGAATAGTCAGGGCATATGTGGGCAATGAAGGGAAGGTATTGCTTATCCTCCCAGGTTTTGTCCCAGAGCTGAGATTTGGTGGTTCTGCGTGTGGTGAAACACACACACACACACACACACACACACACACACACACGAGATATTTAGGGCTTGACAAGCCCAGATTTCTTCCCCCTCCATCTCTCAGGGAGACGAAGAACCTCCTTCCTGGACCAAGGAGGTGCCAAGTTTTCTAGATCAGAGCCCGTACCCATCCCTCAAGCAGACATTGCTAGTGCACTGCCCTGGGTCCCACTCCTATCGCCACCCCATCCCTGTCTCCAGTCATTGCCTGGAAGACTAGAAATGCTTACAGATTGAAGTAGTGACATCTACCTGCAGTCATGTTGTAGAGAGATGCAGTGTTAAAACTGAAACACACACATTTTTCTCTCATAGTTTTTTTTTTAGGTTTTTTTTTTATAATACTTTTATTGATTTCAGAGAGAGAGATAGAAACATCAACGATGAGAAGAGAATCATTAATTGGATGCCTTCTGCACGCCCCCTACTGGGAATTGAGCTGCAACCGGGCATGTGCCCTTGATCAGAATCGAACCCGGGACCCTTCAGTCCGTAGGCCGATGCTCTATCCACTGAGCCAAACCGGGTACGGCCATAGTTTTTTTTTTTTTTTTAAGCTTTTTCAAGTGGGAAAGAACGCAGCTGGCCTTCCTCCCCCAAATCTGCAACCTATGAAAGGACTTTCCAAGCTGAAGGCCGAGACCAGCTCCCTGATCTCTGGGAGGAAAGATCCACAGCTTCTCCTCCATGTTTTGTCTACTCTAAGCCCCTTCAGTCTGGTACAAATCTGTGGATTCGTATTAAAAACCACAGTGGAGACTGACTCTCCAGGAAAGAAAAATAAGCAAATATATGGTCCATCTAAGGGTTCAGTAGAGAAAGGAATGTGTTGACTGAGCCTATATCCCTCCTGGGAAGTAATAATTATAGTTGACAACTTTGGAGTAGGTACCATGCTAATAACTTACTATTTCCTAGAATCTTCTGAAGAGCCCATTGACGTAGGAACCATCAGGCTCAGATAAGAGAAAGGCACTGGCTTCAAGTCACAGTCAAGACAGAAGTAAGGATTTGGCTCTGCCTCTGTCTGACTCCAAACACTGCTCTCTGCATTGAGGAAGGAATTGAGACATATTGTGCTCCCTCTCACTCACACAGGCAGATTTAGAAAAAGATTGAGAAGCGCAAACTAGGCCCTCATCCTTGACCATGGTCTTCAGTCTTCCCTGCTATAGACATTATCCACTGCCCCACCATATGGTTATCACTGAGAAAGTCCAGGGATATCGGTTTGCCTTCTTGCTTTGATAATTCTTGGTTTTAAAAAATAGAATAATAATTAACACATCTTCAGTCATCCATGTCACAAAAGAATTTTCCTTTGTTGGGGGCCTGGGGATGCAACCCTTTGGGGAGTGTCTTCGTTTATGCTCCCTGCCTTGGCCCCCTTAGCCCCTTGCCCTGCCCCCACCCCAGCTCCATGGTGGGAGGCGACTATGGTATTTTCTAAAGTGGGTGGTTTGTCTTTTGGTCTTTCCCTTTGGGGTTTGTGTGGGCCACATGTGTGGCATGTGTGTGCGTGTGTGAACAGCTTTGGGTTCCACTGGTTTTGCTGTGAGCTGCAGTGTTCTGTGGGTCTGTGGTATCTGACACTGTGGACATTAATGTACTTCTTGGACATTTTAATAAAAATTTTTAACAGTTCAACATGCCTGTTGCCTCCTGACACTTTCTTCATTCATTCACTCAGCAGGTACTTACTGAGAAGCTGTTATGAGCTGTGTACTGTGCTTGGTGCTGGGGAGATAGTGGAGACATGGCACTTGGGAGGTGGTCAGGGAAGGCTTCCTAGAGGAGGCAGCTGGGATCTAAAGAAGTTGGATCAATTAGATGATGAGGGGAAGAAAGGAAAGGAGTTTCAGGCAGAGGGAAGAGCAAAGGCAAAAATCCTCTTGCAAAAGGAAACATGGTCATTTGAGAAACAGCAAGGAGACCATAGTGACTGGAGCAGAGTGAGTGATAGAGGTAGAGAGTGGAGGGAGATGAGGACAGAGAGGCAAAGGATGGACTATTCAGGGCTCTATGGACTGTGGTGAGGAGTTGGGGCTTTATTCTAAAAGCTGTACTGGCAGCAAACATCATAAGCAAGGTCAAAAAGCAAATGCCAAACTTAGAGACAATTTTCAAACAGAGGTAAAGGACTTCTTGCCTTAATATATAAAGAGCTCCCACCAATCAATAGGAAAAAGAAAACCTAATAATCCAATAGCTGAATGTGCAACGGTTATGAACAAAACATTCACAGAAAAGGAAATACAGATGGCTCTTAAACTACAATATGCCCTAAACAAAATAACACACTTTTTGCATGAACACCAAGATAAAGAAGAGCATATTTTTTAAAAATGGAATAAAGTCTATCAAGAGAGGAAGCTTTGCATAGATCAATAATGACCATATACTTAAGTTGACAATGGTTTATGATTCACTCAACCATCTGCACCTAAGGTCAGAGTGGAGGATGTTCCGCTTCACACATAAGAGAATTGCAAGTGACAACCACAGTGAGACTCCATTTTCACTTATCATGTTGGCTAAGGTAAACAGTGATAACACGATGCTGGTGAGAATGTGTGGAAACAGCAAGTATGTTTGATGGAATATAAACTGGCCTTACCTCTAAGAAGGGGTGGAGATCACTATCAAAATGGCAAGTTTTGATCCCTTGATCGATCAACTGATAGCATCCTCCTGTTGTACTTGTGTGAGATGACGTGGGTGCTTACGACTCACAGCAAAATATGGGAAACTAAGTGTCCACCATTAGGAGACTGGCTACAAAAATCATGGTGCATCCGAACAACGCAAACTCTGCTGACCTTCAAAAAATGTTTTGGGGGAATCTTTACACGTTGATGGAAACTATCCCAAAAATACATTGTTAGGTAAAATAAGAGTTACTTTTAAACTATGTATGGCACACAAATGTTCATAATAGTGTTATCCAGTCATCAAAATGTCCACCAACTGATAAATGAATTGTAAAAATGTGGTACACATACCATGGAATATTATGCAGCCATAAAATGAATGAAGCACTGACACAAGCTACAACTAGATGAACCTCAGAAACATGCTGAGTGAAAGAAGCCAGACACAAAAGGACATATATTGTACGATTCCATTTATATGAAATATCAAGAATAGGCAAACCCATAGATGCAGAAGGTAGATTAGCATTTGCCGGGGGCAGTGGGGGGAGGAAAGAATGGGGAGCACTTGCTTAAAGGGGGGGTTTCTTTTGGGGTGATGAAACTGTCTTGGAACTAGATGGTTGTACAACATTATAAATATGCAAAATGCCACTGAATGGAGCGCTTTAAGACATTTACAATGGTGAATTTTATGTTATATAAATTTTACCATATAAGAAAGTATATGCTGCCACCAATTGTGTAAAAGTGGGGAAAAGAAACATGTATGTATGTTTGCTTGACTGAACATAAAACATCTCTGGAGGGACAGGTAAGAAACTTTGGGAAGTAAACTGGGCAGTAGAGGATCGGTGGGGGGGGGGGGGGAGAGAGAGAGAGAGAGAGAGAGAGAGAGAGAGAGAGAGAGAATACCTGAATACCTGGCTTCTGGGAGGGTTCCATCCAAGTGGCCATCCCTTAGCTGTCCTCCCAATGGACCACAGAGACATCCACTCCAACAGCAGTGACCCCAGCAGAGGGAGGTTCCCTCCGCCCAATCATCCAGCAAAAATCCCAGGGACTACTTCTCATTGGTCTGCATGGCCCCACGTCCATCCCTGGACCAATCAGGGCTGCCCAGGGAGATGGGCCACATCACTCACTGGCCGAGCTGCAAGGTGGTGGAGTCAGCTCCTCCATATCTTATGAGTGGAGGTAGTTACATACTCACTGGAAACCAAGGAGCTGGAACAGTGGAAGGGAGAAAGTATGCCAGCAGGGAAAAGGCAGGATGAAAGAAATCCCGTGCAGGAATCTCTGTATACATGCCCCCCACCCCAGTCCCCTGTTTGAGGATGCTAAGGCCCAAGGTAATCTAACCAAGGAGCTGGACCCTGCATCAGAGGAACAGTTTGCGTATGGAAGCTTGGTCAAGTCTGGTATAAAAGGATGAACAGTTATATCGACCATCTCACTTCTACAACCAAATCACATTTTTTCTCTCCTCCTTTTGTTTAGAAACTTCCAATGCTCCTCAGCCCACACTCCCCATCCAGCCCTACCTACACTCCAGGAAAATTGCAACCTCTCTGCCTTCCTGAAGCGGGC